GGCACTAGTGAAACAAACTCATTCTAAATCATCTCTTTATATGAATTACTTCACCTGTAAATTTTCTAGACTCTGGAATAACCTACCACAATCTATCCGCACGATAAAATCACTCCCATTATTTGTTCGCTGCATCGATGCATACTGCTCCTCTGAAAATGCATTGAGTGGTCTAGCGCCTTTAAGTGTATCTCATTCCACAAGTGATATTTTAGGAACCTTAAATGTTTAGCCATCTTTATTAGTTAATTCACTTAGTAAAACCACCCACTTGCTGTCAATGTGTTAACACCGCCCCCAGCAACTTTAACTAATTTGAATAACATAAACAGTATATCACTGTGCCACATGACACACGCATTTAGGTAGACCTGATTCATACATTTTGGTAATTACTTTTTTGTTGTTCCGTGCTCTCTGTTTTCGTTTTAATTTCTCTAGTTGTAGATAATTATCATTATTTCGATCTGGCACACGAATTGACCTTAATTACGCTGTTCATAAATCAACAGGCTGTCCATTTAAGAAATATTAAAAATTCCCGGCTGATGCATTGGATCGCTGTAATATATGTACTACTTAAACAACTACTGAACTAGTATACTTAAAACTTTCTTTTATCACATGTTTGTTCTGCACGTCTAATGTTATTATTTATATCAAATTGATCATGCCTGTAAACTGGCGTGAATTCTGTAATTATTATTTTTTCAGAATATAAAATTATTATTGTTATTATTGTTATTATTATTATCCATGTGATTCCACGAATGGAATTGTGGAGCTGTGATAAGTTTGCGGAAATTATTTGAGTCCAAACTACATTGCTTCTATATATTGTTGGTGTTTATTCCTGCTGCCGAGTGTGCAGTGACTTGTTGACGATGACACGACGTACGAAATTACGTTCCGACAGGCATCTATATTTCCCCTAGTTTTCTGTGTACATTGTGGTACATGGCTTGAAATTGAAACTGACTCTTCTGGATCTTAGAAGTGAAGATGATAAACATGTCGGTTGTGCACTGAAACCTCCGATATTTCGAATTTGAACCATGAACTTTCCAACGTTATAATGTTGGGTCCTTAAGTCTCAATTTCAAATACAATTTGGTGTTTCCAATCCGCATTATCTTCTCATACCTCGGACCTCGATTATTATATGTGAGTATTTGGGGATACATACTGACATATAATTTGAGGTATTCCTTCATGTGAATTTGACTTGCAGAAAAAATGTGATACATATTCCTTTTGCTTGTCACGTTAGAAAACATAAGGCCATTGTTCCAGTTATCATTTGAATATGCATTTGCATGCATAATTAACACATGTGATTCATCTGCAAAGCAAATGGAAAATATGGATCTGTCTCTTACTCAACAGTATAATCTTGGACTCGATTTGAATGTTCTGCCTGTGCAAACCTCATACCTGGAAAAACAGGTTCTCTTAATGCTTTGGAAAACTTGCTATCACGTCTGATCCATCATGCCAATTCTTCATACATTGGTTCTGAGAATATCTAACATCTGATATAATAACATCAGAAATGTGACTAAAATTCGATACGTTCGGAACATATTTGTCATATTCATTAGTAATGAAGATGCCACAAGTATTTGAAGTTTGACAACGCTTTAATCAGTAACACCTTCTACTATAAATAGTACCCACCAAGTGAAATAAAAAGACAGAAGCGAGGAGGTTCGAAGATATATTTGATAGGCTATCAACATACTGAGGATCGACCGATCTAAATTGGCTAGCGATTTCAGGGGATATTGAGCACGACGTTCCCACTAGTGATCTGGTATGGATGCATGACCGAACGCCTTCTGCTAGGTGAGTCCATTAAAACTAACGTGGTCAGCATCCAATGTCGAAGACTTACAGATCTATTTATTTTGGGGATTTATTTACAGCTAAAGTAATATCACTAGAGATAAATCCGTTGTGAGGACAAATAACATCTGATGTGACACCATAAGGACTATAATCAGATTTTAACTCATTTAGAATTTGTTACTCTTCTTTAGTTAATATTACACTAGAAATAAATTAATCATTAGGACAAACCACACCTGATAAAATAACACCAGAGTTCTGATAAGGATTTGGTGCACTCGATATGTCTTCCACATATTTGTAAATAATTTTGCTAGAAATACATGAATCATGAGAACAACGCATATCTGATAATATAATATCATGAATCTGACCACAGTATGATTCATTTGAAATATTCAACTTAATAGGATCAAAATTACAAAGTTTATCATTAATTGCAACGAAATAAATTGTAGTTTTACAAACTGCCTGTATAAGTCCAGTTTTACATTTAAAGCACTATCATTATGAAATACACATGAATTACATGAATGAAATTTGCCACAGGATAAACACTAACCAAAATTGTGCTCTTCTCCGTGACCTGCTTCGCAACTTCTAGAAATCTGTACACTTTACATGGTCTAGTAGTAATTCCTTGAGAGTTGCATAAAGAAGTGAAATACGCTTTTCTGGAAATTCCAAAGATCTTAGTAGGCTGTAGACTTCTTTTCCGAATAATACAAGGAAATGAGCCAAAATATAAACATATTCCTTTGTTACAGCCCCGATTTCGAACCTTTCCATATAATCCTCAAACGCACTAAAAGTTGATTGTATTGTAGTAGGCGTCGAGTCGCGATTGACTATGATCACCACTACAGGAAGATTACGAGCCAGATATTAGGTTTGATCCCTTCGCAGATCAAAAACCAAAAGGCAATTGACTGTCGTAATAGAGTATACTTGACGTCAATCTCGTGGTATCGAAATAATTCCGAGATCGTGCCAAATAGTACAAGTGGGACTAAGTAGCGTAAACAAAAGCGTGCGAAGTCACAGTTAACGGAAGAAGGTAAGGTTTTAGTACCGTTAAACAATCAGGTACAGTAAAACAACCACTGATACAATGGGTCATAGTAATAACTGTTTCCATTATACCAGTCACGTTCTCTTCATAAAAAGTAGGTCACTGCGGTATGTCCAACTGTCCTATAACAGGCTCCATCGCGATGCAAGTGCGATGATCAGAAGTATTTGAATTATTGTACTAACTAGGAATTTCCGAAATAGCACAATTTAAACCAAACAGAACTAGGTGAGCACAAACGAACATAATGCATTTATAATCCAAAATCAGTCAGACATCAAATACAAAATAATTATTAGTTCATACAAACGCCACACTTTTTTAGTGTCAATTTAGATCGGGCATAAAATGACTCCACTCTTGAAAACCTAACTCCAATATATATTATATAGAAACACAACATTGTCGCGATAGTCTAGACACTATCAAGCAGTCATTTTGAAACCACAATCACAAATTTATATGACTTTTGGCCCGATCAATTGTCACATGACAAAATCCTCAATCAGAATATCGATGTCTGTTACCTCGTATCTGTGCTAAACCAATGACACATCAACTAGTACTAGCTGCAATGAGTCAACTCTGAATCCTTATTCGTCCACGATACAGTTGCTCATCACATAGCCTTACTCACCCGGTTCACAACACAATATCCACCTCCACTGTATGAATCAGATATTTCAGATATGCATAGTTTCGGTACAGTCAGACCAGACCACATCACACCATAAAATAAGGAGATAACAGTTATAAAAGATCAGTCGAAAAGTGGCTGTGAATATGGGAGACCGTAACTCGTAGATTGTGAGTAGATTACAAATAGTAAGTCGTATAATAATGGTCAACAGGTCAAATGAAAGCTTATGGTAAGATATATATTTGACCGTCTTTAAATCATTCCTGGCAGTAACCATTTATTTGATCTTCTTCGGATGCAACATGAATAACTGATCTTGTCACTTATCCGACCTGTTGTTATCGCTCAACTTGTGGAAATCAGCAGAAAACCGATCGCATGTAGGCATTTTATGCTGAAATATGCGCCATCACCTTAAAATTCCTTACCCGATTCTTAGTAGCACGCTTATGCACCATAGTTTTTCCTCTGGATCTTTTATTAAAATGAAGATTTCTGTTTGAGACTAACAAGATAACAATTATTTTTCACATAATGTTTTACCATTTAATTACGTTTAGTGCATAAAAAACTTCAACGAAAAGGTAGACCATTAGAAAGACGGTGTTCACTTTTATAAAGATATATCATAAAGTTTGTTTATGTATTCATAATATCTTTGACATATTCGTTTCCGAAAGCTGTAAAATCGGTGTGATGAACAATTATAAGACAAATTATGACATATAATAAAGGACTAATTGTGTAACAAATGAAGTTCAATAGAATGTTTGTGATTTATAAGTTAGGAACGTGTGTTTTCCTGATCACTAATAAGTTTAAACAATATATAATTACATCGATTGTACTCGATGCTACTAACTAGTTTGGTTACATTATCTTTTTTTTACCTAATCCTATTGACTACTTGACATTCAACTAATGATCATTGTTATTATTGATACTCATTTATTAACTAATTTATTTGAAATCAAATCAGCTTAGATGCAATAATAATAATAATAAAATGAACAAGTTAATTACTCAAAGTTTATATAACTTATCAAAATTAGATTCATTGTCGACCTGGGACAGTTTAATAATATAATTGATATGTGTTATCATTACCACATCATAACAAAAAATTGCCTTCTAATAATAAATATTTTATTACTGAAGAATAAATGATGGTGTGAATGAAGCATAATTGAGTCATAATAAATAAATTATAAATTCAATAATTATTTAGAAGCAATATATACGATAATCAAACTTTTCATGATAAGTGCAATGGGCGAGAAATATCAGGTTATTTTTTATTAAAAGTAAGTTGATAACAATGGTAGTATGAAAAGTAATGAAGATAAGATTACAGTCATGGATATTTGGGTTTTTCTACTAGAATTGCATAAATCGTCTTGACAACACGATGTAACAATTCCTGACCCGGATCTCCTGGCATCAGCTTCAACGCAAACCGGAACACAACTACGACTGGTCACTTGTAGTTTATCTTGTACATACGTTCTTATTGTCTGTTAGTGAAAACAGAAAAGTGTTAAACAAAGAATATATTAGTTAGACAAAAACTAAGCTAACAGATGAGACAAAACTATATAAGGTCATCAGAAAATTGACGTTTATTCCATTTTTCTTGAGTATTGATAAAATATCAAAGTAATCATTCATAGAGTCTAAGATTATTTCTTTAGTAAAATATGAATATTTTAACATTATAACTTTTCATAATGTCGTCAAATCCACGTTCATATAAGAAAGTAAAGAGATGACAACAATACATAAACATAAACAAGAGTATAGGAATGTATGTAGAAAACCGCTTTCTCACTATTAAAGCCTTGAAGTCACTGTCGTTGAGCCACTAACAGATAAAAACTATGCTATTTCAAATTTATTATCGTCTAAGCAGTGTCAATTTAAGGCCACAAGTCACTTGTTTGTGAGAGATATATGTATGATACTTTTATCGTTTGTGACAAAAATATTGAACTAAGTGATATCTAGGACGAGCTTGGTAGCTACCACCAGCCAATTAAATTCACAATATAGAAACGGAATTGAACTCGAAGTTCCACTACATGGATGTTTTTTTAAAAAAGGAGACTGGGTTGTTCAAAAACTAATAACATTTTTAATTGGTTATTTTGTAATTGGTTTTTCTTATTATTCCCGCAGATTAAGTATTGGCTTAATATTTTTACCCCACTGTTCTTTGCAACTGCTCGGCGGATAATTTTCAACACACTAGTCTGATTGTTCATACTTCTTTTAAGTGACCAGTTAAAAGATTATTTCTTTTGACAGTTGAAGTATAATACTTTTTATATAATCTTATGATAATCTAGTTAAATTTACTTTGTATACAGTAATGAATGATATTATAGCGTTTGCCCGATTTATTATATAAAAGTTCTTTCCCTTTTTATTGTTCAAAGACGTTTTGTATATAATAGAGCTGTTTTTAAACTGATTGTCCACTAAATAGTTACCGGACTTCATGCTTGTCGCCGGGTTATCATTAATTAAATTCTGTAGATTGGGTTCCGTTGTGGTCACTGTTCTAAATGATTCAGCATACTATGCACTATTTTAATGAAGGCAGTCTTCAAGAGATCCCATTTGATCTAGGTTTTGCGCTAGCTGACATTCGTCAGCAAGCCAGAAATCTTAAGAAAAATGAGTATTCCCACGAAATTCAAATGGTGTCACTTGGTATAACAATCAAAAACATTGTCTTTAAGTTTTTCGAGTAGCTAATGACCCATTTTAGAAATTAGATTTACACACTGACTAATCAGCGAGTAGTTATCAGTTAACGTTCAGGTCATTCGAGATCCATATGGTAGTATCTTTGACTGTAACACTGGACAAGCTGGTTCGAGACTTGATTGAATTAGCTGTTTCTTGAATATTTCAGGTACACCTTGACGACAAATCTCAAATAACATGAAATCCAATTTTAAGGCTTTCAATAAATTACCTCTAATCATCCAATGTAACTTTAATTCTTCTCTGGGATAAGAATTGTTAGCTTGCAGTAACTTAACTGTTGAACACTTATATTCTGAGTTAAACACTTACCGTTAACTGTCAGAGTTTAATATTTGCTTTCATTTCACTTGAATTTTCCTCCTATTACCTGTACTTCTGATTCATCGTACAGGATTTTTAGTGAGCTTTGGTAATTGTCATTAAATAAAAATACTTCGCCAATTATTTACAAATTTGCAAGAAGCATAAGAAATGCTTTAGTGCGTACAACTCGAGATTTAAATATAATATCACCTCTGTTGATTACGCTCTCATAGATGATCAAATATAAAAAGGGCAATGTGTGGTTAACTATACGTTTCTACAAATTATTACTTGAATTAAATAGTTTGTTTACTCACTAAATTGCATAAATTGAGATAATTATTGAAATACACCAGTTTTTTTTAAAGGAATAACCAACCACAAAAATTTCTTTCTTATTAATTTATGTGGACTTGATTTATGTCAAATCTACTCAACAGAACAGAGCAAGAATTTTTGCAAACATTTACATTATAAGTAATGCAGTGGGATAAAGGAACAGTATTGTCTGTATAAAAAAGATTAGGACGATGTTAACTTTTTTCTGTTATCAAGGTAAGAAATCGATTTTATGATCACATGGTAGTACTTTTCACATGAAATAGTTTCTCATTGTAAGTACGACTGATCATCGATGAAATTATATAAAAATAACAGCAACAGGTAAATTGTTACATTTGGATAATGTGAGACAGAAGGTTCAATATTAGATCATGTTTGGAAAGTGTGCTAAGTAGTTAGAAACTAGAGTGATGCTGATGTCTATTACGTTACAATTTTCAATATTTTGATAACTTCTTTCAGTTAGTGCATGGCATAATCGGAATGCGAAAGTAGAATGGTTGTTATCAGTTACGTAAATTCTTATGGAAATTCCCAGAAAAATTATTACAAGTATTGACATAAAAGGTATATTTCTCATCACTTACTGAACAGAAGGTACAACCAGTTTGTTTCTCAGTATCCTGATATCTGAAAGGGTCTTGACACTTACTACACACATAACAACGATGACCTAAACCTATTTTTGAAAAATAGAAACACAAATTTATTTACGGTAGTGAAACTCATAACAATCAGTGTTAATCATTTCAAAGGATAAATGAATGTTGAACCAGGGTAGATTCTATTAAATTGTACAAATACCGAGATGGATTTCAGGGATAAATGAATAAAATTATACAAACGGTTGTGGTTTACGTACAAAGATGGTTTTCATCGGTATATAATTTCTACTTAACAGTTAAACTAACAGAAATTCTCATAATTAGGGGAAAAATCTGTTCTTGTTACTTGTTAACATACTATTGTGAATCGCGAGGTGGCTACTCTAATGCTACCGATTGATCATCTTCAGATATCCCAGTACGACCCCAATACTGTTACCCAATCTCCAATATATCAGAACACGAACCGCAGATGAAAAATTGTTTATGGGGTTAGGAGCAGAATAATGATTTACAAACAAATTCATATTTACACAGTTAGGATTACTATAAATATTGACGAACCGGAAAATGACACGCGAAATAAATATTGATCAGTAGGGAAACGACCAATAGGAAAATGACACCATTTAACGTTCAAGAGTAGCATTAGACTTAACCGGATCATTGTTTTTGGGATATTTTTCTGAATATCCCAAAACCTCCCTTTGGAAAAGTTAATAGCGACGTAACCGAGGGTTTACTTGAAGTTTCTTTGGGTATCTTCTTTTGCGATCCGACCTCCGAGGCAACCACATAGAACCAGAAGGGTGTTCTACTTGAGTAGATGACTTAGTCGTCTCTGTTGCAGGTATTGGCAAAAGTTTAAACGTGTCCAACAGCAAGTCGAGTGGGACGCATTTTGTAATTGCTTCTTTCTCCTTCGCTTCCCTTGGCCTGACCTGATTGTGGTGCCTGGTCCAGATTTCTTGGTTCACTTTGACATCATACATGACATCCCCATGGTTTTTTGTGAGTTCACCCTCTACCCATCTATCGCATCCATGTCTATAAACTCGCGCATACACTTTTGTACCAACTTCGTAGGGAATTCGAGTATTCTTCATCTGGGGGCTTTGCTGGGCCACTTGCTTGGGTTTCATCGCACCATGAACTGTCCGTAGCTTTCACCCCATAAGCATCTCAGCAGGGGATTTGGAGTTTGGCAATAAGTTATGCGGGGTCGTCCGGTATGCAACTAGGAATCTTCCTATGATATCTTCTGAGGTCCCCTCCCCTTGTGCTTTAAGCATGGCTCGTTTAAATGTATCGACGAACCTTTCAACTTGTCCATTAGATTGCGGGTGATATGGCGGATTACAGACATGGTTGATCATGCGGTTTATCTCCGGGTGTCCAGAGTGGAATTGGCTTAGGACCTTGGAGCGTAGGGTTGTTGGAATTACTACGCGATCACCGAACATCAGACAATCGTTAACAATACAGAGAGCGCTGCGACGATTCGCTAGTTGTTGCATATCACCACTGAGCTGCTTAACTGGCCATCTGCTCTGAACATAGGTGATCGCCTCTTGGGTAATCAGGTCTTCTCTGGTAGCTTCCCGAACATCTTCAGCGGTAACAGGCATTGCTCGAACGGCATTCGCTAATAGTGTAGCACCGGAATCCTCTTCGGTTGATACTATGGCTATGAGTGTGTCCTCATCAGTGGTAGAATGGTTACTGATAAGTCTGGACAGCGCATCTGCTTGACCAAAATCTTCGGAACGTCGATACTGGATTTAGAAGTCGTACCCCAATAACGCCAACGCCCAACGTTGAAGACGATTAGCAGAATGTGCAGGAATGCCTTTCTTCGATCCAAAGATCGACCACAACGGCTTGTGGTCTGTGAGCAAGGTGAAAAGGTGCCCATAAATGAATTTGTGGAATCGCCGGACAGCAAAAATTAAGGCTAACGCTTCCTTATATGTCTGACCATAGTGTTTCTCAACAGGTGTTGGTGTTCTCGAAGCGTGCATCACCGCTTTCTCTGACCCGTCGGGAAAGACATGTGAGAGTACGGCACCCAGTCCATGTGTTGAAGCGTCAGCAGCAACCACAATGGGTAGTTTTGGACTGTAGTGCGTTAGCAGAAGATTGGAACTTAGCATGGCTTTAAGTTTTGAAAAGGCTGACTCGAATCGCGTTGACCAATTCCAAGTAGTATTCTTTTCTAGCAGACGATTCAGTGGATATCGTACGTCATGCAGTGATGGGAGAAATGCTGAATAGTAACTAATCATTCCCAAAAATGATCTCAAAGACTTTTTTCTGCTGCTGAACAGCATGAACTTCGGAACCACCCTGGCCCCCAGATTGAGCCAAAGCGGTGTCACGCTGCAGATTGATGATGCGCTGGTACTCGTCTATGATCGCATTGAGTGTCAGTGTTGGATCTTGTTCAAGGCGGTTAAGCAACCAAGTTCTGATGTCGGAGAATTTGGGTGACTGAAGACTGCATATGAGTACTAGGGACTTGAATTGGTCTTCAGTGAGGGATCTGAGCTTGAACCATTCGCACTCACAGTCAACAACGCCGACGTGGGTCAAGAATTCATCGGACTCAATCATGACCAATTTTAAGCAGCGATATCGAGTACTGAAGAGTGAATGATGATCACCATAAAGTTGGCTAAGGGACTGAATAGTGGCATCGAAGGAACGGTAGCGTGGGTTCTGCGGTAGAATGAAGTTGCAATACTTATCCAACTCGGATGGACCAAGTTTCCGAAGAAGAAGACGCACCTTTCACGAATCATCTCTGTCAGCAAAGTCAACTTTGAAAAGGTCTTCATAACGTCTGAACCAGGTATCAAATGTAATATTGGCATCAGGATCATAAATAAATTCTGAAATATCACAGGTAATACCATCAACTGATTCAGGAATTGTCGGTGTAATTGGGACTCGAGAAAATATGTGCATCTGAGTAATCATCTCCATCAGCTTCAGCTGCTGTTCGAACAATTTTTCTAATTTTTTCCTTTACAATAACTATCAAAAATCATCAATAATTCATTCACAATAGCCTTTGGATCTCAATATTTTAAATATTTTTGGAACTGAAGTATGAAAAATGCATGAAAGAATCGTAGTTACATTTTGTTCTCAAGGAACAATGATGTATGTATCCTTAAGTAGATGGATTTTATTAACTCCAGTAAATAATAAGTCGTTTTTCAATATTTAAATTATAAGATAATTTATTTCTTTTAAGTTCATATTCATACTCATTGAAAGTGAAATTAATAAAAATTGAATAGAAAGTAGACATTTTATTAAACTGAATAACTTTCATGTTATTTCTTGTAGACTAATGATAATTTAGCATATGTCATATTCAATAGTACAAACATTAGAACATTATTTATGCTTTTCGTGATTGCACTATATGTATCTTGAGTAAATCCACTTTTCGGATTTTTGAGAAAACTAAATCTTCAACTAGCATACTTATTATCTCCAATTATGAATTTTTTTATAAATACTACTAAAATAATAACTGAAAAGGAGTAAAAGAAAGTTATCAAAACACACATTCTGTGGTTTCTGTTGCACAGAAAATGAAGGAGGATCATTAAATAATTATTAAATGACAATAATAATTACTTTCATGGTGATCATGAATTGATATAAGTTAGACCATGATTAAAGACATGGAAGCATTGAACGACCGTTTCTTTCCAATATGGGACTCCTCAGTAGTATGCACTCATGAATCAGCACCTAGTAATAGAACCCAGCTAGTTACCCTACGGCCATAATGAGAGGTGGTCGTGCAATGTTGTGAATTGATTGAAGTTAGAGGTCAACACTGTTGGATGCTAACTCAGTGATCTGGAAGTTAAGGGTTCGTGCTGGCAACTGAAGGTCCTGTATACGATGCTTATGTGCTAGATCATGGATGTGGACTACTGAGGAGTCCTATACGAGGATGGAACGGCTGTTCATTAATCACAAATTTTCAATATTGGTTTAACTTAGATTGGTTATTTATTGCAATGAAATTACTGTACACTTTTAAACTCCAATTTAAATTGCACTAATTGAGTTTTGTTGGATTTTTGTTCTGTAATTGTTACGTACACATGAATACGTTGTAAGCGTAAAGAAATCTACTTATCTAGAAATCTCATGAAGTTTTAAAATACTCATAAAATATCATAGATTTAAGGGTAATTTTATTATGAGCACCTGAATATATTAAAGATAAAGATTTTATTCTGAGTCGTTAATGTCAAAACCTTTAATGCACAATTCTGTTTCAACTCAATGGATGGATATTTTCGCGTTTTTTACAAAACCTTGGTGTCTTATGTGTACATCGTTGATTAGTTCAATACAATGATGCAATGACTGTTCAATAATCCTTGTTTTTGGGATAGTCTTATCATACCGGTATCAGTTATTAATAGAAAAGCATAACTTTCACTTTATATAAAATCTGTGTAGTATTACCTCAATAAAAGCTGATGTATTGTAATTTTAATTACCTTAAAGAAATATATTATCGACTATTCTTAACTGAACAATGATAAACTTTATCGTTCCATGTTGAATTTAAATAATAGTCAACTATCATTATTGTTTATTCTATGAAACAGTATGAAGTATGAATTTTCGTTCTATAGTAATTAACTTGAAAGTATATTTTATTGAAAACTGATTAATTTGTTTAATCTTATAGTTTATATGGTAATTTTTAATACCAAAAGTTTTAAAATTAAATAGAAATAATAGATTTTTTCATTAGATTTGTTAATTGAATGATTTACAAAAAGAATTTATAATGAATACAAAAGGTTAAATTATATCGAAATATAACCATCTTTTAAGAATGATCATCATAAATTTAATGGTTACGTAATAAATAATAATCCTAAAATTAAAAGTATCCTAAAAGTGTAGTGAACAGAACACCAGCGGGGACAATCGAATGTATTTGACACGAAATTACAGAGCATTTCAATAAAATCTGAGAACCATATTAGCAAATCGTTAATTTGCAAAATATCAATCCTTCATCTCAAAC